GCAGCTTGGCATGAGCTCTCTCAGGGCCCCAGGACTGGACCGATGGGGGTCCCTGCCCGGGTGGGAGCATCCAGGGCTGTCACTGCACCTCTGCCCTGGCCCTGTCCCACTGGGGCCCCCACACTGCCCACTCTCACTCAGCCCCAGCAGGGGTCTCCAGTGGTGGTCCTGCTGCTCTGCCTGCTCTCCATCCTCACACCCTGCTTTGAACCATGCCTGTGCCACAGAGTCTCCTGGACATGATGGTGGCAGAGGAGCAGAGCCTGAAGGAACGTCTCCTGAAAAGCATCGCCATGTGCCGGAAGGAGCTGGACACCTTGTGCAGTGAGCTCCAGCTGGGCCCCTTTGAGGTGAGGTGTTGCTTTTCACTGCTGGGATCCTGCTGCTGCCCTGCCTAGGCGTATCAAGAGGCCAGAGCTCACAAAGCAAACGCCTGTTCAAAACTGGGTGCTTGGCAGAGCCAAGGGCTTTGTGGCTCCTTACAGGCCAGCTGTTGAGAAGCAGTTGTGAGGTGTCCTCCGTCACCTCATTTTGTGTATTGCTGCTTTGTTTGCAACTTCCTGGGGAACATCTTGCCCAGACCCAGGGCTTGTGTCCCTGGACTTCATTTAAAATCCTAAAACATGAGCTAGGTGTGGGAGAGGTGTAGAGCAGAGCTGATTTCTGGCCTCTTGCAGACAGAGGAGGAAAGTACCATCCTGCAGATGGAGAAGAATCTGCGCATGCGTGTGGAGGAGCTGCAGAGGCAGAAGCAGGACCGGAAGCAGGAGCTGAAGGCCCTGCAGGAACAGGACCGAGACCTGTGTGACATCCTGTGCACAGCCCTGTTCAGCATTGACAGCAGTGCCGTGCCCAGCCTGGAGGACCTGGACTGCTACCGGCGCCACGTGGCCTCCCTCAACACCCTGAAGGTGAGCAGAGAGACTGAGGGGGTTGGTGAAGGACCCATGAGGGGCCCACTGGTTCCTGACACTGCCCCTCACCCCCAGGAGCAAAGGCGGGAAGAGTTTGTCAGCAACAAGCGTCAGATCATCCTGCTCATGGAGGAGCTGGACCACACCCCGGACACCAGCTTCGAGCGCGACGTGGTGTGTGAGAACGAGGAGGAGTTCTGCCTGTCCAAGGACAACATTGTGGCCCTCCAGAACCTGCTGCAGCAGGTACGCCGTGCACTGAGGCAGCATTTGGGGCTGCTGTGGGTCCTGACAGCAGCTGCCATCACAATGCAAGAGTGACGGCTGGCTTTTGGGCAAGGCTGTATGTCAGAACATCCTTTTGGGGGTTTGAGGAGATCTTGGGTGCAGAGTGCATGGCTTTGCGGGTGTAGCAGAGCCAAGGGCTGCACTGACCCCCTGCTCCCCCTGCCTGCAGCTGGAAGCCCGGCGGGCTCTGAACGAGGCCGTGTGTGCGGAGCTGCGCTCCAGGATTGTTGCGCTCTGGGAAAGGCTGCAGATCCCACAGGAGGAGAGAGAGACCTCGGCCGTGCACGTGGATGGGTCCAGAGCCAAAACCAGGAGAGCTGTAAGGACCCTGCTATGTCCAAGGCAGGAGGGCTGGGGGTAGTAGCTCCTGGGGCTCTCATGCTCCTGTTTGCTCAGTCAGTGGTGAAGGGAGTGGGCCAAATCCTGCCCTCGTGGGGGGAGGAGCTGGGGGTTGGTGCTGGCAGCTGCCTCATCCTAGAAAGTGGCTTGTGCAGAAGATGAATCCTGTTCTGCCCCTCCTCTTTCTCCCTGACCTGTGCTCTGATCTTGGGAGCAGTTGCAGTTGGAAGTGGACCACCTGGAGGAGCTGAAGCTGCAGAACATGAAATCCGTGATCCAGGCAATCCGGGCAGAGCTGGTTGACTACTGGGACAAATGTTTCTACAGCCAGGAGCAGAGGGAAGGCTTCGGCCCCTTCTATGATGGTGGGTGCCAGCTGGCCAGGCAGCTGTGGGGAGGAGTCCAGGGGTCCCAGCTGCCCTCTGACCAGGCTATCGTGCCCTTCCAGAGGATTACACAGAGACCCTGCTCGAGCTGCATGATCACGAGGTGGGCAAGATAAAGAGCTACTATGAAACACACAAAGATCTGTTTGAGGCGGTTCAGAAATGGGAGGAGAACTGGAAGCTGTTCCTGGAGCTGGAGGTATTGTCTGGGCAGGAGCCCGCTGGGTCGTGGGGCAGCACACACCTCTGCTCCCAGGGGCTGAGTGCTCTGGGAAGGAGCAGGGAGGCACTGGGGAGGCACAGTGGGCCACTGCAGGGATGAGGTGCTGTCTTGAGCACTGGGGTGTTTATGCAAGGCTGGCTCCCTGGGGGGTGGGGGGAGCTGGGTGGTGTCTTTAAGTCTCTTCTGATCCCCCTTCTCTACTAGAGAAAAACAACTGACCCCAGCCGCTTCACCAACCGCGGGGGGAACCTGCTGAAGGAGGAGAAGCAGCGAGCAAAGCTGCAGAAGACGCTGTCCAGGGTAGGTCTAGCCCTGGGGAAGGAGCTGTGGTCCCACTGATCAGGAAGAAGGGATCCCTGAGCATGGGGACACCCACGTTTGGTCAGTCCCTACACTGATCATGTCCTGATCAGTCCTACACCTCATGTCCTGATCAGCTGCAGGAGGAGCTGGAGAGAAAGGTCCAAGCCTGGGAGCAGGAGTTCAAGGAGCCTTTCCTGGTTAAGGGGCAGCAGTTCATGGAATACGTGTCAGAGCAGTGGCAGCTGTACCGCCTAGAGAAGGAGAAGGAGAAGCAGGAGCGGGTGAGTGTGGAGCTGAGCGTGCTGGGCTCCTTCCTGGGAATGCCAGCCTGGGAGTGTCTGTGGTGGGCCCCAGTGCCCCCCAGCTGCTGCCCTGGGCTCTGCCTGCTCAATCCCAGCCTGGAAGCAGCAGGTAGTGGGACAGGTACCCATTGCAGTTGTGTCTGTGTGTGCTGAGCCCCTTTCTTGGCCCCAGCTGTGCCAGAGGTGCCACTTGGCTCTGGATACCTGTAAATCTTTGGTGAAATTCCTGCTGCATGGCCTTGCCAAGCTGTTGGCAGGGCAGTGCCCACTGGCAGTGGCACAGAGGTGCACCAACTCCACAGTGTTCAGGTGTGTAAGTGCACGTGTCTCCCGCAGCACCTGAAGAAGAGCCGGCAGATAGAAACGGAGATGCTGTATGGCAGCACCCCACGGACCCCCATCAAGCGGCGTGTCCTCAGCCCCCACACACCTGCCAAAGTAAGGAAGGTAAAATGTCCCTGTGGAGCAGTGCAGCTGGGCCGGGGCCCTGCCCAGAGCTGAGCTCTCCCCGAGCTGGAGCCTGGCCTTGGGCTGGCCTTGGCCCCGCAGGAGGGGTCGGGGTGCTCTGGCTCTGCAGGGAGGTGTCCCTCGTGTAATGCGTGCTCTGCTTTCTCCTCAGTTCCACGGCACCTCCATCACCAGCACTACTCCCAACAGCACAGTTCGCTCAGCCTTTGGGGGAACCATCTCCCACTCGCCCACGTCTCGGCTGCCGCCCTCTGGGAAGAAGGTGAGGGGCCCTGGGGGACTCCCTGCCCAGGGCTAGGATGGGCAAACCAGGGCGGCACAGCTCTGCCTGCTGTCACCCTGTGCTTCTCTGCTTCCCCTGCCAAGTTCCTGGGGGGCTGAAGCTCCTATTTGTCTGCAGCCTGCTCCGTGAGGCTGCTGCCGTCCTGTTGGGGAGTTTCTGGGACCTGAGGGAGGAGGAGGGTGACAGGAAATCTTTCTCCAGCCCAGATTTCTAGTGTACCCCTGTTCCTTGCTGCTGAGCCTGCAGCTTGGGGGGGGACCTTCAAAATATGGTTGTGCTGCTGGACAGGGCCTGAGCACTCTAGTCTAGTGGGTGGCACCCCTGCCACTGGGATGGAACAAGATGGGCTTTTTAAGGTCCTTTCCCACCCAAACCATTTCCAGGATTCTGTGACTCTATGCTATATGTTTCTGAGACTAGAATCCAGCCCCAGACTCCGGAGGGCACCCAGAGCCTGACACCACTCTGGCCTCATAGAGGGACAGGCACTGAAGCTGCCACAGCTCTCCTGCCTCTGCTCGATTCCTGCATCCCGTAACTGTTGCCTCCTCCTGCAGTTTGGCCGTGCCCGGACCCCCAGCCGCACGGCAGCGAAGCCCCCCCGACCCAGGCTGAGGCAGTGGAACAAGGAGAACATGTCCCAGCTGGATGGAACCACCCTGAGCGGTGGGTGCACCCCCACAGCCCCTGCCCAGCGTAACCACAGCGTTAGTTCTGTTGCCAGCACCTATTCTGAGTTTGTGGTAATTCACCTCTTCTAACCCCACCCCCTCCCCAGGCGGCACAGGACAGACGCTTCCCCTTCCCCCAGCACCCCCAGGGCTGTGTCCTCCCCGTGTCCCCACGCAGGGTGGCTGCTCCTGCCCATGCCTGTGGCTCCACATGGAGAACTTCAAACTGTGGTTTGGTGGTGGAGGTCTCACACTGCTCCTGCCTCACACGGCCCCTGAGCAGCCAGTGGGGACAGACACCAGCACAGGGGCCAGGCTGGGCTCAACGACACCCCTGTGTGGGGACAGAGCCCAAGGCCCAGCTCTGCTTGTTGAGCCTGTAAGGGGGACCCTGCTTCAGTCCCACCTTCTCCACTAGTCTCTGGGGGTGGTGGGGTGAGCAGAGCCTGCGGGGGGCTGCCAGTGGATGGGGCTTTGCTCTCTAGGGCTGGGGGGCCCTGGGCAGCCTCTGTCCTTTTGTCAGGATGGGCTGAGCCTGAGCTTTACCTTTGTGTGACAGTGGACTGCCCCAATCTCTTCCCTGTGGCAACTGACCTGGTGTTGGGGCACCCTGTGTGCCCTGACACTGAGCTGAAGGGGTTCCCTGCTCCAGGCTGTGCTCCCAGGCTGGCACCCAGCCTTGGGTAGGGCTGGGGATGATTTGTGATGGAAGCAGATTCCTGCCAGGAGTTCTCTTCCTCCAGCAGCTGAACACAACTGTTCCTGTCCCCTTCTCCTACTGATGCTGCAGATTTTAGGAGGTCTCTAAACATGGACAAAGAGGTTTAGAAAGGAGATATTGTTTATTCTGAGCAGGGTGCAAGGTGGGGATTCCCACAAATCAAGCACCCAACTATCAAAACTTTTTACTATTTATACATTTTAGCAAAGGCATTAACGTTCATTGGTTACAGGTTACATAGTTCTGTTATTAGTATTCTGTCTCCCCTTAGCAGGTTGGGCTGCCCTCCCTGCCCATCCCGACCTCTCCCTGCATCCCTACTGACCTTCAAAGCAGTGGCCCTGACCTTGCTGCCCCTCCCTCCCTCCCTTCATCCCCCTCTCCCCCTTCTTGTTCCCACAGCGCGAACTTTCAAAGGCTTCCAGCTCTGAAAGCACCTCCCGCATCCTCAACTCCACCACCACCAACGCCTCGTGCTGAGGCCCCTGCACCCGGCAGGAGCTGCTGCTCCAGCGGCACCACAGCATCACCCGCTCCAGGATAACCCACCTCCAGCTCCCCCCTTGAGAAATTTGCTTTTATTTAAAAAATTTTTCAGGATGTTGTGAATAAAGTCCCTGTACAGTCCACAACTCCGAGTCTGTTGGGGTGGTGCCTGTGGTGAGCAGGAGGAGGAGAAGAAATGGGGGGAAGGAGGGGTTGGGGGGGGCAAACTCAGCACCCCAAAATCTCAGGTGCGGCTCTGGGAGTCTGAGCCAAGCAGGAGCCACGCCTAGGGCCTGCAGCCTCAATCCATGTCCTGACTGGTCTTGGGGCTGGTCGTGTAGAGCAAAGCTCGCCCTCATCCTCCTCCTGGCAGCAGCCATGGCTGGGGGGCTCCAGGGCCTCACGGCTCCAACACACGGACGTAGGTGGTCCAGGGCCCGCACACCACCTCCTCTGCCCGCAGCCCCTCGGCCACCAGGTGCTCGACCCGACGTGCCTGGTCAGAGCTGGCGATGTCCCCATGTCCCAGCTGTCCATATTTACCTGCAGACACAGTCATGACACAATGTGGCCCTGGGGCCTCACAGGGTGATGGCTCCTGGACGTTTGGGGGGGAGAGGGAACGTGAGAGCCCCCGGCACAAACGGGCCCCTCACAGTGATAAAAGAGCCAAGGGTGAAGGAGCAGGAACCAGAAGCTGCTCCTGTGGGGGATGTAAGGTCCCAAAGCTGAGGTGCCACTTACCCCAGCCCCAGGTGTAGAGCTCTCCACCTCCTGCAAGCAGGACAGCACCATCAGCCAGTGCCTGGTGAGCCCCTGCCCCCCTCAGCCCCCCCCTCGCCCCCAGGGGTGCTGCCCACCAGGTCCCAGTGAGCCCCAGCCCCCACAGCCCACCCCCCCACCCCGAGGGGTGCTGCCCCCAGCCCCACCAGGCACTCACGTGTGACAACAGCTGTGTGTCGGGACCCACAGCTGACCCCACTGACCTCCAGGTCCTGTGGCAGATCCAGCAGCGCTGGGAATGCCTGGATGGAGATGAATGGGGTGTCTTTGGCAGCCGACTGCTCCTGGCGGGGCACCAGCTTGGCATTTCCTGTTGAAGAGCTGACTCTCAGGTCCCAGGAGCGACTGGGCACCACCAGCATTTCCTGCAGGCTTGAACTGCACCGGCCCTGCATTCAGCCGTGCAGAGACCCTGCACCCCCTGCCCGCAGCCCAGCCAGCAGCACCCACCTGTGCACACATCATCCTGAGCCCGCTCCTCTACCAGTGCTTTGGAGGGCAGAGCCAGCTGCCCTGACTCGTTCCAGCCCCACATGTACAGGTCTCCTGCCTCTGCAGGGTGGAGGGGAAATGCATCAGGCAGAGTTCAGCCCTTAGCAGCAGCGCTGGGTGCTGTGGGGGCACCAACACCCCATTCCCACCCCTGGGCCAGGTCCCACCAGGGCCGTATGCTGCCACCAGCGCCCTGACCTCCCACGCCAGGCCCAGCCCCTCACCACTAATGCTGGCCGAATGCCACCCGCCAGCTGCCACTGCCCACATGGGCACCCCGGCCAGCGCCTCCACCAGCCGTGGCTGCGGCTCCGACTCCAGCGTCCCGTGGCCGAGCTGCCCATGCCTGCAGGGACACACAGAGGGACAGACAGACAGATACCCCCATATGCCACTGCCTCCAGCCCTCGTGCCTCCTGCCCACACTCCCCACCAAGCCCTTCCTGCTGCCAGTGACACAGACCCAGCCTCCCATGACCCCCAATGCCAGGGGGGTGCAGCGGAGGCACAGGGCTCAGGTTGGGCAGGGAAGGAGGGTGCCCCCATGCCCTGCAGCTTGGCGAGCTGCAGCAGGCATGGCACAACATGTGAGACAAGAGTCGGTGTCATCGCACAGTCGGTGTGCGCTGTGCAGCGATGACACAACTTCAGATTGATCAATATTTTTATGAGTCAGTGCAGTGAGCAGGGGATCGATTGCAGAGCTCATTGGGCCACGCTGAGCCAGCAACCAGCAGTGCCAATCAGTTTGGCCCCGAGCCTCGAAGCACAGGAGGGATCCCACCAGGGACAAGTCTGGGCTCATCCCGGGGAGGCACCAGCTGCCAGCACAAACGTTTCCCATGGTGGGCACAAATGAGGGCAGGATCCAGAGACACACCCTAAGGTGTGTGAATCCTCCCTACGTGGGCAAACTGTGTTTCCCTGTGTGCTGCCAACCGTGGGATGGGGGGCACAGGCAGTGCCAGCCATGGGATGACACAGTTCCCAGCACCATCCAGGCTGGCAGAGCTTGAGATGCTGAAGGAATAGGGAAAAGCCGAGCGTCAGTGGTAGGGCAATGCCAGCACCAGATCCCAGTTACAGCCAGGGGTCACTGGGGAGCAGTGGGACAGACCACTAGGGGCTTTAGTTGTCAGAGCTGGGGCAGAAGCAGAAGGAGCTGGTGGGGGCTGTAGGAGTGAGAGGAGCAGCTTGGCCTGTGTGGTCTGGGGAGCACCAGTATGACAGCCCAGACAGCCAACAGCTGTGCTAATGCACAGCACTGGGAAGCATTTTCGCCTTCCACAGGAGGAATCAGCAGAGGACCAAGGCAAAGAGACACTGAGAGCTCAGAGACAGGGAAAGGTGTGCTGCAATGGGAAAGGGGCTCCAGCCTGAGAGGGCGATGGCGACCACAGCCAGCAGTAAGAGAGGGGCTACAAAGGGGTGAGCTGGGCCAGCACCTGTCTGTTACACAGCAGAGCTGTCACACTGCAGGACAGCTGGCAAGGGATGGGTGAGAGCATTCTCAGCCGTGTTGAATAACCAAATTCCAAAAAGGTTAATCCTAAAGTACACATTCCCACATATAGAAACCTTTCCTCTGAAGGCAAGAAGGATAAAATAACGTAGTGTCTGCAAAGCAAGAACTCCTGATGTAAACTGAGTTTTGTGTTTGCCATGAGCTGTGTTTGCTACCAGCTGGCCTAGAGCCAGCAACTGAGGAGAAGGGACTGGGGAGTGAAAAGCTCCTGAGCAATGAGGAATGGGGAGGGCACTGGGCCAAGGTATGCAGCTTGTGACGCTGACTGATGGTCAGTACTGCGTTTGGCTTCCATAAGTGGCAAAGAAAGAGGAACACAGCATCCCTTCAACCCTACAGACAGGAACAGCCAGTTCCTGCGGCCAAGCCTCATCACGCACCAGCAGAACTCAGGGATCCAGGGCACGAGGACCTGGGGCCAGACCCTCTGGTGCCTCCTCGGAAAACCTGACTGGGGCAGCACACGCACAAGCAACCCCCAAACGAACAAACACCTCCGTGGGAATAAACTGAGTGATGCCGCTGGCTGTTAAATGTACCCAAGTTCAGCGGCTGGCAGGTGACATGGGACTGGAGGCTTTTCCCAAGGGGTTCACTGCTCTCCCACAGGCTATAGCAGAGGGATCTGGCACTGAACTGTCAGACTGATGGAACAAACCTCCAGCTCGGAAACATAGAGCTGGTGTTGGTGTGGCAAGTTAACAGAGGAGCAGGAACAGAGCAGGGACCTCAGTGGTCACACAGAGACACCCAGGTGTCCTTGGAGGCCACCTAGAGGGAGTCACAAGCCAGAGCAGAGGCCCCACAGGAGCCATGGCCCTAGCACGTGCAGAGGAGACACGAGTGCTCATGGGGTCAGCAAGAGGGGACACAGAGGAAATGGGAGCATGGCCAGGCCAGTAGTCCCTGGGAGAAGCTGCGAGCTGGGTTGCCTGTGTCATCAGCATGGGGGTGAGCATGGGGCACCTGGGGCTGGTGCCCCAATACTATTGTCACAACCACACTCCCATATTCTTCTGGAGCCCCCACACCCCCATGGAAAAATCAGGAGGGATATCCCAGCCCCAGGCAGTATGCAAGGGCGGAGGGAAGGACCATAACACAGTAGCACCTGTATGTGATCCAGATGGCTCAAAAGTTATTAACTGAAGCTCAGTAATTCTGTGCAACACAGGGAATAACAGAGGGATCAGGATGCAATGAACAGGGTGGTTATTAGTGAATTCACTGCTGATCATTTAATCACTTAATTAGATTATGTTACTGTGTTGACTCACCAATTAACACTACAGAGATGTGAACTGGTGTGTCTAAAGCCTGCAGGCTAAGGAGGGGCTCAGTCCCTGAGGTGACCCTCGTCTGGACATCCTCTCACCTGCACCCCACAAAGCCCCTCCTGCATCCTCCAAACTCATTCCGCATCCCCGTCATTCTCTCTGCATCCCCTCAGCACAGTGTTTATCCTGTTGTTCCTGAATCCCCACCCGTGACGCACCAGCTTCCCTCCCGAGACCGCTGCTGCCCCTCTCACGCACCCCTGTGCCCCCACAGCCCCCGCTCACCTGCCGCCGCCCCAGGTGAAGACCTCGCCGGCGGCTCCCAGCGCCAGGGCGTGCTCCGTGCCCAGGGCGAGCCGCCGGGCGCGCAGCCCGGCCGGCAGCGCGGTGAAGAAGGGCGGCCGCGGCGTGGCGAAGCCGCCGGGCAGCAGCGGCAGCGGCTGCCGGGGCTCCGGCGGCAGCGCCCGGCTCCAGGCGGGCTCGTCCTGCAGCGCGCCCGTCACCGCCGCCTCCCGCCGCCAGGCGCGGGCCTCGGCCGGGCCCCGCAGCACCAGGTGCGTCTCGGACGGCAGCGCCTCGGCCCAGCCCGGCAGCCGCCGCCGCAGCCCCGCGCTCCGCACCTCCAGCCCCGCGCCTACCGCGGCGGCACTTCAGGGACCGGCGCTGGGGACAGTGCGCGGGGCGGGACGGGGACAGCCCGGGGGTCTGGGAGGCCGGGACGGGAACGTCACGGGGGAACCAGCGGGGAGCATCCCGGGGGCGGGACGGGGACAACCCGGACCGGCAACGCATGGGAACACAGACACACCCGGGGGGACCGGCACCGAGGGGAAACGGGGACATCCCGGGGGAACCGGCGCGGTGGGAGGGCGGAGGGGTCTCATCCCGAATCAGGAGGCGGGGCGGACAGGACGGAGCGAAGGGACCGGCCGGCGGCGCGGGGCGGAAGGGGGACGGGGACGGGAACCGTGCACTAGCCGGCAAAGGGCCACACCGGAACGGCGGGAGGGACCGGGGCACCGGGCGGGCCGGGGGCGCTCACCGGTCTCCACGACCACGTAGCTCCACGCGGGCCACACGCGGAGGATCCCCTCGGGACCCGCCTCCAGCCGCCGCGGCGCCAGGCCCGGGCCCGGCTCCCCGGCCGCCTCCTCGGGGCTGAACCCGAACACGAGCCAGGCGCGGGCGGGCGCCGCCATGGCGGGGCGGCAGCGGGAGGGAGGGGCGGGACCGGAGGTGACGGCGGAGGTACTGACGGACAGATGGACAGAAGCTGTGGTCCAGGAGCAGCTTTAGTGTCATCGGGCGGGCCCAGCCCCACCGCGCCGGTCCCAGCCCCACCGCGCCGGTCCCGGCCCCGGGCCGGCCCTCCCGACTAAGGCAGACGGTGGCAAAGGCAGCGGCGAGTCCCCTCCTCCTCCTCGCCCCGGGACGCCGGGATGGCGCCGCCGGGCACAGCGTGGCCCCAGCTCCGGGCAGTGCTGAGCCAGCCCCGCGGGCGGCCGGACCCTGCCGGGGCCACCCTGAGAGCAGCGTGTGAGCACTGGCCCCGGCAGCGTGTGCCGGAGCCCCGGCAGCGTGTGAGCACAGCCCCGGCAGTGTGTGCAGCGTGTGCGTGAGCCCCACGGGCCCTCAGGCCTGGGCAGGGTTGGGCTTGATCAGGCCATAGGCCACAGCCTGGGCCAGGCTCTCCTGGGCCGCCTGGGCCACTCGCGGCTTGTCCTTGTCCTTGGCCAGCACCGAGAGGATCTCCAGCATCTCGCTGGCGATGAGCTGTTCAGCCACTTCCCGTGCTGCCGCCATCATGTTCATCACCACTACGGCACCGCGGTGCTGCAGCTCGGTGCTGGGGCTCAGCAGCAGGGCCTGCAGGATCTCCAGCCAGTGCACCGTCTGCAGGGGAGTGGGGCCAACATCAGCATGGCCCCTCGAGAGAAGGGAGCCAGCTTCTCCTCCCTGACAGTCCCAGATTAGTCAGGCTGAGGGGTCAGGACAGGTTGCCCCCTCTTCTGGGGCCAGCACTGGGACAGAGCTCCAGGCCACCATGGGGAGGGAATAAGGGACACAGGGTGCTGTCCCGCCCCACTGCTGGGCACTCACCACCTGGGGGATGCGCTTGCAGATGGGAGGGTGCAGGGCAGTGAGCATTGCCAGGGTCCCCGAGGCTGCCCGACGCAGCTTCTCATCTTCCTCCCCACTGTACAGGACCATCAGCTTTAGCCGGTCGCTGCCCTCTGCCAGGAACAGCTCCTGCACCTGCACAGGAGGAGGATGAGGAGGGGATGGGTGGGGGTGTGGGGGTTGAGCAGCCCAGCGCAGACCCCAGCCCAGCCCAGCCCTCACCTCCTTGCTCATGGCCATGTTGCACATACACTCAGTCGCAGCCAGCCGGATCAGCTCGTGCTCCTCAAACATGTAGCCCTCGATCATGGGCACGGCCCGCTCCTTCAGGATCTTCTGCCTGCAGGGTGGGGAGTGTGAGTGCTCCCTGCCCAGGGAAGCCCACTGGGCCTGAGGGAACAGACAGCTCCCCTCTCCTCCCTTCTTACCGCAGCCTCTCGCTGATGCCGGCCAGGTTGGTCAAGGCCATCAGCCCCTCAAAGTTCTCCAGGCCCGTGCGCTGCAGGTGCAGGAGGCTGACCAGGGGTCGCACCACCTCGTAGATCTGTAGAGACAGCACACATGGGACTGAGTCAGTGCCCACTGCTGTTCTTACATGAGCCCCTGGTTGGCAGACCTGACCCCCATTCCCCAGCCACAGCACTCACCCGCTCCCCAGGGAATGCCATCTCTGGGTTAGAAGTGATGGTGATCTTTGCCAGGGCCTGTGCTGCCTTGGTCTGCCCCACCTCAGTGCCCTCCAGGGACAGTGGGATCAGAGCCTGTGAGCAGAAACAGCAGCTCATCCTGCAGCCAGCCCACAGCAGCCTCATGTACGAGGCAGCAAGTCTGGCCCCTGCAAAGCAGAGACCCCCAGCCCCCCGAGCCCCAGCCACCCAGATCGGTGCAGGGTAACAGCACAGTGGGGTCCCATCCTCTCACCTTGCCTCCTCCCTGCGCAACCACGCCACCTCGGTCCTCTGCCTCCTCCACCAGTGCCAGGAACACTCTAGGGACAAAGTGGGAGCAGCTGGAGCACCCAGACAGCTGCAGGGGGCCCAGGCTGCACCGGACTCCTGGACATTCCCATTACTGTCCAGGAGCCGTCATTCACCATGGACACGTAAGTTGGCCAGCAGGATGCCAGCAGCCTGGAAACCCAGCTCCCTCCTGTCCCTTGGCACACCCATACCTGGAGATCAGCTCCCGACAGGAGTTGGTAAGCGCCGGGTTCTCACTTTTTACCATGCAGGCCAGAGCTGACACCACGCCGGCCATCAGCAGCTTCCGCACCCGCCGCTTCACGAACTCTGGCTTGTCCTGTCCCACAGGCGGGGTCACAGTTGGCTCAGGGGCACCAGCTGGCTGGTGAGGTGCCTGACCTCACCCCTGTGGGCCCCAAGGACACCCTGTCCCACCCCTCCACTCTCCTCCTGAGCACAGCCATACCCCACTCACCTTGGGGTGCTGCTCTGGAATGTGCTGCTTGGCATACTTGGCCAGCTCCAGCATCTGCGGGTCCGGCTCCTCATGGTCGTAGCTGTTAGTGCAATTCACCAGCGTGGAGGCGACAGCATAGAGCACACTCCTGTCCTCCGACTGCAGTGATAACGGTCACACATCACACTCGTGGCAGGGAGAAGCAGCCAGGGCTGGAGCCCACCCAACATCTTCCACATACCCCACCCCACAGCGTGAGCCCCACACCCCTTCTGGCATGTTTCCCTGGTGTCAGGGTGCCCACCCTGCAGTGCTTGGCACATACCTTGGCCAAGTGGAACATGGCCTGCATTGCTGCCTTGTCCTCCACAAACTCCTCCTTGACATCTGCATCAAAGGTGAGGTAGGCCAGGCCTTCCACAGCCCAGCGCCGTGTGCCTGCGTCGATGGCCTCATTGCAGAGCCACCTGGGAGAACAGTCCTTGAGCCCAGCTGCAGGAGCCCATCTGTGAGGCACCCTGCCCACTCCCTCCGCACCCGGCCCCACTCACTTGCGGCACTGCTTGGCCAGCTTCATGGTGGAGCCCTCGGCAAATTGCTTCATGCTGAAGTCAGTGCCGCCAGCAGATCCCAGCTTGCAGAGCCCCTGCAGCCAGGACCAGAATGTGGGAGCAGGAATGGGCACGAGCACCCCAGTGTGTCTCCCAGACCCCCAGCAGGGAAGGGCAGTGCTGTGAGTGGTGGTCCTGCACCCACAGCCCGCCCCGGGGCTCATCCCCGCCGCTCCTCCATCCCGCCGCACTCACCACGAGCGCACGGATGCGGATGCTGTCCCTCTCGCTGTGCTTGTAGATCTCCTTGAGCAGGCTGACGCCGTTGGCTGTGATGAAGGAGGCACGCTTGGCCTTGTCAGCCGCATGGATCAGCGCCTCCACCGCTACCAGCTGGTGGGCCTCACAGACAGAGGCACACAGGGACAGCACGCTGTCCATGATGCCCTCCAGCTCCAGCACCCTGTTGCCTGCATCCAAGGGGCCCTGCAGCAGGCATGACACCGTCTGGATGGCCCGCAGCTTCCCCAGCAGTTCGTGCCCCTCGAACCAGCCCCTGTGCACAAAGACCACCAAAAAAGGTCGAGCTGATCCCACCTGCTGCCTCCTGCTCCACCTGCTGAATACCCCCACAGTGGGTCTGCAATTGACTTTAGCACTGAGAGTGGCAGGTGCTACCAGGTTGCAGGTGACCGAACCCCCGAGCCCCTGGGACCCCCGGCTCACCTCACGTAGTCCTCGCACAGGTGGTGGAAGTTTTCCCTCTCGGCATCGCACTTCAGGTCCTCATACAGTTTGCTCAGCAGGACGGAGGCACTCATCCGGCTGTTCTCTGTCACAGGCAGGCTGCCCGGGCTGCCGCACACCGTGCTGCCCACCTCCAGGATCTTCTTCAGGCCTGGCAGGGGTCAGACACCCTGGTGAGGGGCACACTGGCATGTGCAGAACCATGGCAGAGGGGCACAATGCCCCAGTGGGACGCTACTGGCCATTCCACTCACCCTGGTCAATCACCCAGAGACTCATGCTGTTGTTGGTCTCCTTTGGTGACTTCCTGGGCACCACCTTGATAAGCAGGTTTAGGGCGTTGTCACGGCCGTGTGCTGAGGCCCCTTCCAGTGCCAGCAGCTCCAGGAGGTGCTTGATCAGCAGTTTCAGGTCCCTAGAGGAATCTTCCAGAGGAGATAGTGCCCAGCAGTCAGTGCCTTGGGCACAGCCTCACCCCCACTGTTGTACAGCTGGCAGAGACGCTGCCATGACCAGGGACTTCTGCCTCCTGTTAACCCTGGACCAAAGCCTGGCTTTGCCACAGGGAGCAGTGACAGGGTGGACAGCAGGAGAAGAGCCCACAGCAGCTCTGCACTTCCCTGGGACTGTCCCCTCCCACCAGCCAGCAAAGGTTGCCCACACTCACCCAGCACCACTGCGTCCTCCTTCCCACGGAAGTCCTTCTGCAGCCCCTCCTTCAGGGAATCGAACATCACATGCAGCAGGTTGCAGGCAGCCAGGGACACCTGCTCATGCTCCACACCCAGCACTGCCGAGAGACGGGGGGCCCCCAGCTCCGCCAGGATGGCCGAGGTCTGCAGGTACAAGCACACCTGTCTGCTGAAGGCCCTGGGGAAGCCTTGGCACTTACCAGCCCCTTATCAGGATTCTTCCCTCTTACAAACTCAGGCCTGGCACATGACAGCTCAGAGCTCCCCTGTCTGACACTTTGCAGCCTCCCCAGCGTGGTTCTCCCCTGGGTGCAGCGGTACCTACCCGGGAGCGGTGGCCGGAGCACAACCCCACCAGCGTGCGCAGGGCTGCCAGCATCAGGTCAGCCTTGGCCGTGTCCAGCAGCTGCGTCAGCAGCCGCACACCATCACTCTGGAAGATCTTCTCTGCTCCAGCCTCCTCTCGTGCCAGCACGATCAGGTTCTGCACAGCCTGGGAAAGGAGACTCCTGTCTAGATCACCAGTCCACCGAACACAGGAACCCCTGGCAGCCACGGGCACCCGCCCTCCACCGTCTCGGGGAGCACATTCCGCAGGGGGGAGCCTGGTCTGCCCAGGCAGCACCGCTAATCCACTGTGGACTTGGGAGCACTGATCCTCCCCTTCTCACCTCCCAGCCACAGCGCTACCCCCTGCTCCCTGAGCTCAGACCTTCTGCTTCTTGTCCGCGTCCTCTTCTTTAGGATCCAGCAAGATCTGGAACATCTGCTGTACCTTTGAGTCCGTACAGGACATGGTCTTCATCTGAGAGAGAGCAGAAAGAGCAACTCAGCCCTCCTTGCCTCCCCCAGCTGTCCACAGCCACAGGGGATCTGGCAGTCCCCCACTGCCCCCACCACTGACCTTCTCGTGCATGCTGCTGCCCAGCGCACGCAGGGCCTCCTGGAAGGCCTTGTTCCTGGGCTCCAGGCTCACGCACCGCTGCAGGTCACCGACGGCCTGGTCCAGGCGGCCCAGCTGCTGCAGCGCCTGGCTACGGCGGAACAGCGCCTTCACATCCCGGCCGTCGGCCTCAATGGCTGTGCACAAAAGAGTCTATCGCAGAGCCCCCAGCCTGCCCTGGCCTGCCCTGGTGGGCAGCACAGAGGCCAGCCCCCCTCAGCCCCACTGACAGTACCTTTAGTTGCATCAGCCTCCGCCTTGGCGTAATCCTCCTGCAGAGATTTGGGAGAGGCAAAACCTGAGGGCTGCCCAGGCAGGCCCCACATAGACCAACACCCCCCATTTTGGGGAGCAGGGACAGGCTGCAGACTGTGAGCCAGCCCAGCGGGACACCCTGTCCTTCCCAGAATGCAACCCTCAAGGGATCCCTGTGGAGCCCTAGGGCGCCCGATGCTTTTCAGGTGCTTCTGGTCTACTCAGGCCCCTGAAACTCCTTGTGTTCCCCCCTTGCCTCAGAGACAGTTCCCCAGCGGGAGATCAGAGATGCTGTGACTGCCTGGGGACAGCCACAGGGCACATGCACAGCCCAGGCACAGACGGGAGCATCCTGGCCCCCACAGCCCACCTGGGAGGTGAGGCAGCAGGGGACAGCGGGCAGGGACAGGGGAAAAGGTGAGCAGAGACAACATCTGATAGTGCCCTGTCTGGGACCAAGAGCATTCTACTTGGGGACCGACACTGCCTCCGGCGCAGGGAGCACCTGGCCAAGGCAGACAGCCCCAGCCGGCCGGGCAGGTCCTGCGGGGCCGCCCCGCCCCGCGCTCACCAGTTTCAGGTAGCAGGCGGCCCGGTTGCGGTGCAGCACAGCGCGCTCCGGCGCGGCGTCGCTCAGGCTCAGCGCCTCCGTGTAGGCAGCGAGGGCCGCGCCGTGGTCCCCCGCCTGGAACAGCGCGTTGCCCCGCGCCCGCAGTTGCTCCGCCGTCACCTGCCGACGGGAACCGGTTGGGACGCGGCCCCGGGCCCCGCATCGGCGGCTGCCCGGAGACGGGCCCCGGATCCCGGGACAGGGAGCCCCCGGGACAGGGACCCGCCCGCCCCAGCACGCCGGTCTCAGCCCCGAGCCCCCCCGGTCCCGTCCCGGTCCCGCCCGTCCCCGCTCACCGGCTCCTCCATCGCGCTCGTGACGTCACCGCCGATCGCCCGGGGAACCCGGACGCCACCGCCCGTGTCACGTGACGGGGCGGGGCCGAGCCTGCAGCGCTGCCCCGCGGCCCGGCGGTCCCGGCACCAAGCGCATGCGCCCTCGTGGCTGTCCCCGCGCGTCCCCCCGGACATCCCCCGTGCTGCACCCCGGGGGCGAGTGCCACCACCCCTACACCCCTGCCCCACCCGCGGGACCCCCTCAACAGCCCCGGCTGGGGCGTGGCAGGCTGGGGGCACCGTGGGAAGGCTGGGCACGGGGCAGGTGCCCTCCCCGGGGTCTGCAGGGTGGGCAGCGGGCGCAGGGCAGGAGGCGGCCGAGGTGGCAGCGTCGGGTCCAGTAGAAGTGGCAGAGGTCGATGGTCATGAGCAGGAGGACAAGGAGCCCGTAGAGCCCAACGAAGGGCAAGGCCAGTGGGTTCCTGCGAGGGGGGTGCACTTCAGGAGGGGGCAGCCATGGCCTCCCCCAGCACAGCGGCACTAGGGAGGGCCACCCAGGGCCCAGTGTGGGCTCCAAGGGACATCACAGGCCCAATGCCAACAGCCACGGGAAGTCCCTGGGGCTGTGCTGGGATCCCCAAGCAGCACACCCAGCCACAGTCCTGCTCACCGGAGTAGCTCAGGGCTGGCCAGGCTGGAGAGGTTCACCCCGGTGAGGGCCTCCAGGGCCAGCTGGGAGCAGCAGGACTTGAGGGCGCGCGGGCTGGGCTGGCAGCAGTAGCGGTGGCCGGGAGGGTCAGTCAGCCGTGGGCAGTAGAAGCCGGGGTGGGAGCGGCCGTCACGGCCAACGTAGCCCTCGCAGAGGTGCAGGTTCTGCACTGAGACTGCGGCGGGTAGCAGGGGCTTGGAGAGGGCCAGGAGGGAGTCCCCACTGCGTGAGCCACAGAGCCACACGGTGCCGGCAGGACAGGCTGCCAGCTCCAGCAAGGTGGCCCTTGCAGGGATGCCACAGAGCAGAGCCTTCCCAATCCCAGCAGGGATGAACTGGAGCTCACTAGCCCCAGGGGACCTGGCTAAAATGACACAGGGACCCTTGGCTCAGCTCTCAGCGCGGGCTCCAGCCCCCCGGCAGTGCCTGCTGCAGCCACGGCCCTGTGTGTGCCGTGACCACCAGTGCTTGCCATGGCCTCAACAAGGGCAAACATGGGTGAGGAGGGTGATGGTGGCAGAGGGGAGGGAAAGCCCTTGGGGACATCAGGTCAGCCCCCATCTCTCCATGCTGAATCTTTTCCTGTTCCCCATGACCCCACAGGGACAGCACTTACACCCCACAGATGTGCTGCAGTGGGACCAACCCCAGCACCACCACACCTCAGCCACCATTCCCAGCATGAACCACCACCTCCCACTGTGGACCACTGCCTCCTAGCACAGATGCCCCCAGCCTCTGTTCTGGGCTGTCAGGGAGCAACCCCCAAAGCTTCGTCAGGGATGGGGAGGACAGGTTCAGGGAAAAGAAGGGGCAGGAATGGGGCTGTACCTGTCCCAAGGATGCTGGGGAACAGAGCCGTGGTGAGGAGCAGCTGGAGCAGGAGCCCACCCAGCATCATCCTGGCCGACACTGAGCAGAGGCAGCTCTGGCTCCAGTGGAGGCAGAAACCACAGCCACTCCTGCTCCCGCCTCCATCGCAGCCCATCAAGAGCCGCTCAGAGCCATTAGAGCCTCCTGCACTCACTCAGGCTCAGTCCACAGGGACCAGGGCGGAGGCGGGAGCATCAGTAATGAGCTTCTGGGGCCAGGAGCTCCTTCCCCACCCAGCCACGGATCAGCAGCCACAGGGTCCAGGGCCCTGGTTGGGCACCGGGACCCATCCCAGGATCCAGGAGTTATGGCGAAGGCCGTGGGCCAGGCCAGGGCATGGGGTGAGTGCCTGGCACCAGGTGGGGGCAGGTCGCCTGTGCTGCAGTCCCTCGGCACCCACTCCCTCATCACCCACCCCTGGGCCCTGCGCCAGCCCCCTGGCCCCCTGCCAGCCATGACATTAGCCAGGCTCCAGCAGAGGGTCTCCATGCCAGGCATCCTCCAGGTGCTGCAAAGGGCCGAGCTGCTGGGGCTGGTCCATGCTGGCTCCATGAACTCAGCCCCTTCCAGGGCTGTGGGATGCAGGACCATGGCCGAGCCTGTAGCATGCAGAGGTGCTGAAGGCTGTGCAGGAATCATGGAAGCACAGAATCATTTAGGTTGGAAAAGACCTCTAAGTTCATCGAGTCCAATGAAGCCAGAGCTGGGGGAGCTCCCCCGCCTCCCCCTGCAGCCCTCCCCGCTGGCGGTAATTAGCCCCAGGGGCCAGGGAGCGCGCAGCCCCTGCGGTTCCCACAGCAACCAGGAGGATGCTCTGGTGAGGTGGCATCAGCACCTGCACCTCAGCTGCTGCAGCCTCAGCAGAGACTGGACTGCCAGGTTCACACTGAAACGGGGCTAAAGGCTCTGGATTTGGGAGAGGCCATTGCCATGCTTCCCCCCCGTCAGTGCTGCCAGCACAAGGAGCTGCCTGACTCCTGTCCCCCTGGTTCCTGCTGCCAAGCATAGCTGGGCCTGGCCATGCCACCCGCCTTTCACACCCAGCTCAAGATCTGGGAGCACTGGCAGGGCAGGGACCTCAAAGAGCAGAGGACAGCACAGCTCTGGCAGCCCACCCAGCCCACCCAGACTGACCCTGGCCCCGAGCCAGACTCCCCACCTTGGGTGCTGCCCTGTCTCCCCATGGCGCACTGTTCCCACTCACCTGCACGGGAGGCACAAACCACACACAGACTGGGCCCTTGGAAACAGCCTCGTGTTTCCTACGAGCTCCAGGTGAGCTCAGTCTCTAGTCCACAGCACCTCTCCAGGCAACTGCCCAACACCACCAATCAGCCCCATGCTGCCCCACTAGGCCAGGGGAGCCCAGAACAGGCCCCTGCCCCAGCCACTGGGGTGGCCACACTCCCGGGCAGCCTGTGAACGTGGCAGGGCAGCAGTGCCCATCGCACCAGCAGCAGCAGAGCCTGGCCTGTTGCCCCTGCCAGCTGTGCTCAGCCCACCTGGCACCACATTCCGCAGCCTCCGCCCAGCCCCGGCCACAGCAGTTCATTCCAAAATCTATCTGAGAATGTGGGACTAATAAATTAGAAGGCAGCAGCAGCCTCTGCAAGTCCAGCGCCTCCTGCCCGCGCCCACCACAGTGCTGCTGGCCCTGCTCTCCTGCAGTGCTGGTGCTGCTCCCACGCTGCCCAGCCACTCTGCTCCTCTCCCACTCCACACACTACCCCAGGCGGATGCGGAATGTGGCAATTTCCATGGGGTCCAGGTAGATGTTGGTGCTGTTGGAAGCCGTGCCCAGTGGATACATCAGCGTCAGTGAGGTGGGCTGCAGGGAGCCCAGCTCCAGCCCCTGGAACAGGCCTCCCAGGACCAGCTGGGGAGAGAGGAGGGAGAAGAGAGGAGGCCTGGGTGCTGCCTCTGGTGCCTGGGGCAGCACTGTGCCCAGGGCAGCCTGTTATGTGGCATGCCAGCCGTGCCGAGGTCCAGCCTGGCTCTGACTCAGTGTGGGTGTGGGGCAGCCTAGCCCTACCTTGCCCTGGCTGGTAGTGCAGTTGAAGCCCAGGTTCTTGGCCTCCAGGCTGCAGTCAAAGCCTTTGCGGTGCAGAATCAGCGCTGCCTCGGTCGAGGGTAGTGAGTCGTCCTGGGGGAAGCCAGGGCGTGAGGCACAACAGTGCGGACAGCAGGGCAAGAGCCCCCCAGAGTCCTGTCACACCCAGGCTGTAGCTCACTTCTGCCTGCAACGTCCGCAAGTTAAGGATGTGGAAGTCGCAGGGGAGGGTGGTGGCAAGGGGCACGAAGGAGCGCAGGGCTGGCACGGCTGGCTTCTCCAGCGCCACCGGCATGACCAGGGCCTCGGCATTCAGGTGCATGGAGGTGATGTGGCTCAGCAGGGAGGGGAAGCTGATGGGGCGTTCGTCCTGCACCTGCCGAGGAGCACACGGGTCAGCATAGGCCTGGGGAGCTGTGGGGCCAGGCAGAGCCTGGGCAGGGCCCACAGAACGAACCACTGCTCCAGCAGTGCCCCGAGACCAGGCACCTGCAGGCACAGGGCACCCAGAGCTGCCCCCACCCAGGCAGGACTCCCTTCCCCAGCACCCAAACAGGACCCCATCTAGCTGATGCTCAGACTATGGACCTGCTATGGGCCTGGCTAGGCTAGTGGCTAGCAGCTAGTGCACGAGACAGGGAGAGACAGCAGGGCCAGGCCGGCCATTACCTCAGGGCTGCCAGTCCTGGTGCCAGGGAAGCCCAAGGCTTTAAACATGGAGACCAGTTTGGAAAAGAAGCCGGAGCTCTGAATGGGTGACATGGCGCAAGCATAGAGGGCAGCGAGGGGATGGGACAAGAACACTGTGATTACAAGGGCAACGTGGCTCCACAGGGACAGATCCCACTGCACAGGTCCCACCCTCCCCGTGCCCCCTGCTCCAGGCCCATCCCTGCCTAGAGCCAGCACAGTGGGACAGGAGGGGAGCAGATGCTGCATCCCATCACACGTGTGGCTTTCTGCAGGTGCCTCCACCCTGCTCCATCCCAAGGCAAGGCTGGGCATTCCCATCCTGTGGCCTCACAGCCCAGGCACCTTGTTGGCAGTGGTGCGGCGCTCCAGGAGGAGCCGGAATCGGTTGCAGGTTCGCTTGTTGTCCTTCAGCCCCTGGCCCAAGCCCCGGTTGTCATCCTGCATGAGGCGCCGGTCCAGGATCACCTCCAGCTGGCCTGTGAAGAGTGGGTCCCCATGCCCCAGGCTTTACCAGGAGCCAGCCACCCCCCATGGCACGGAGCTCCAGAGACAGCAGGACCAGGGCACCCTGTGCCCAGCCTGCAGCACCCTCCTCCCCTACATCCCCTGGGGAGGGGAGCCCCAGCTCTACAGCAGGTCTCCAAGGCATAGGCCTCCAAGACACAGGCCTCCATCTCACCGCTGCGGAGGCTGGAGACTCCCAGGGCCTGGGCTGTGAGCAGTGTCAAGCGGCTCTGCATGTCCTGAATGTAGGCCATGGCAGGCATGGGGTAGAAGTTGGCCTGCAGCGGCAGCTTCCGCTGGTACCTGCGGGGCTGGATCTGTCAAGGGACAGAGGTCAGTGGCCAAAAGTGGCTCCCACAGTGCCCAGCGCTGGGTGTCGGGGAACTGTCCTGCTGTGGGCAGGTGCCGTCCCTCCCTAGGCTGCCACATACCTGGAAACCATTGAGGTCCGTGAAGAAGGTGTTGTCGCTCTCAATGTCGGTGCTGAAGCGCAGGGCCAGCTCCTTGTTGATGTGGTCACGGATGTCCACCAGGCAGGACACATCCAGGGACAGGCCCTCCACCCCTGCAGGTAGGCAGTGAGGGGCTGGGCCCCACAGGCAGCATCGCCCAGCACCACTGGGCCAGCGACACCCCGGCACCACCTCAGGATCTCACCTGGCACATTGTACAGCCGCACCATGGTCTGAACGTGCTCGTAGTAGCTGGCAACCTCTGAGAAGAGGGGTCCCTCCGTCACCCGCACCACTGGGGGGTTCTTGGGGGCATAGGGCTGGGAGGAAGGAGCGCTGTGCTGAGGCTGCTGCCTGAAGACAGTCCCACAGGCACAGCTGCCAGCTGGCTAACAGGACAAACCCTATACCTTGGCTTCTCCATCAGGCAGGAAGAGATAGGCCCCACTTTTGTCCTTGGAGGTCCTGGTGCCATAGACGAGGAACTCGCTGCTCACTCTGTGCCCCTGCTCCTCCCCAGCTCTGTGTATGCTCTGCGGGTGCGGGCCAGCACAGCCATGAATGCAGAAGGCAGCATGGTGACCCCCTCCCCTCCTCCACTCCAGAGCCCCACATTCACCTGCAGCAGGCCCGAGTGCCCTGAGAAGCAGGCCTGCAGGTGCTGGTTCTCCAGGCAGAAGTCATCGGCAGCAGCCGGGAAGACTTGCAGGGGCACGGCCTCAGGCTTGCGCACAGGCAGGTCCCGACCGTGCAGGTACAGGCGCGTGGAGGACCTCAGCGTGGCATGGCCGTCCAAGGACCTGTGCAGCTGCAGCACACGCAGCCCCAGCGCGGGCAGGCGGGCCAGCACAGACACCTGCAGGCAGTATGGGGACCTGAGCCAGCCCCCTGTGCCTGGGGACGGACTGGGAGTCAGTCGGGCAAAGGCCCCCCCCTCTACTGAGGGGAGACGTGCATGGGGGCCTGGTGGTTTGACAGCTGTGGGAGCTTGTGTTGTGGGGCAGGGACAGAGCAGGGCTGACAGAGTATCCTGGCAGTATGCAGGGACGGGAGGCTGGCATACATGGTATGTGCAGGCTGAGGATGGGGCAGGCAGTGTCACCGGGGCATCCTGTACCTGGTAGACATCAGGAACCACTTCGGTGGCGGAGCTCCAGGTTGCGCTGAGCTGGAAGGGCAGGGGCTGGCCCTCCTCGGAGAGCACATGCACATGCGGGGAGTCCACCAGCATCGTCACCACACTCAGGCGTTCCTGCTCCAGAGGGTTGAACACCACCAGGAACCTGCAGGGGGTCACCCAGGGATGGCATCCCAGCCCCACTGCATCCCAGATGCCCAATGCCCCACACTACCCACAGGTTCACTGCATCCACCTATAGCTTCACAGCATCCCAGATACCCCATCACTGCCTCTCCACAGCCCCACAAGTCCCTAAAGCAAGGCATGAGGCCCTACCGGGGTGAGGTGTCCAGTTTGACCACTGTCTTCTCCGGGAGGGAGTCCTGGCTGGGGCGCGTGTCATCCTGGGGAGAGGAGCAGTGAGAGCTGGGGTATGCCCACACCCTGCCAGCTGGGCCCAGAACACAGGCACAGGCTGGGGCCCTTTCCCCAGCCACGCCTGCACAGAATTGTGCTCCTGAGGGCATGGGGACAGCATAACGAGGTCCAGGGAGCCAGGGGCAGGCACTGCTCACCATGCTGAGGAAGGGCGCAGCGGGGTCATGGTGATATGTGTCCTTATCCCCCAGCACAAGGTAGTGCGCAGCGTTGATGATGACGCGCTTCAGGTTGGTAAGGGAGTGGAGCAGCCTGGGGCACAGGCAGAGTGAGCCACTCAGGGCCATTCAGCCACCCAACACCCCCCACCTCTCCCCAGCAGAGGAGCCCCAAAAGACCCCTACACCCAGCCGCACTCACAGCCCTGAGCCCACCAGCCCCTCCCTGACAGGCTCTGAGGGTGCTCCAGCCCCCACACACACCGGACTCCGTAGTCCACAGCTACAGCCTCCTTGGCGGTGCCAGTGATGGCGTCGTGGTGCTGGAAGAGGCCCAGGTTGCGTCGGGCGTTGCTCAGCAGGGCGTAGTCGGAGAGCGGGTACCTGCCGTCGGCACTGGCATGGCGGGCGTGGGCGAGTGCCAGGCTGTACAGGATCTCTGCCCCCCTGCACAGGGACAGGGTCACAGAGGATCTCTGTCCCTGTGCCCCAGTGCTGCGGGGGCTGGCCTGGACGTGCCGGCGGGGGGCACACACTCCCCTGGGACTGGGCAAGGGTTTGGCACTGCCTGGGCCACCCCAGTGCATTGGTGGCTGGTGCAGACCTGGGGGCTGCTGGAGCTCCCAGATGCTGCCTAATCATCCCTCACCCACGCCCTGCACACCCCCCATGCTCCACAGCCCAGTCTGCTGCCCCTCACCGGAGGTGGGCCTCTAGTACCCGGTCCAGGCTCTTGTAGAACGGCCGGGAGGTATAGTATCCCGTCCAG